GGCCACACGTGAACCGCATCTCACATGTTAGCAATTCACAGGTGACAACCCAGTAGCCTATATTTTTCCCTCAGTTGCCTCAGAAATGTTTCCTTTAAATCAAGTCTTAATGTTTTGAAAATGTGCTCTTTGAGTTTTTAAAGGGCTTCATTCTGATACTTATTGGGGTCACCCTCTCATTAAATATCAAAATTAAATTTCTCAGGATCAGCCAATAAACAGAAGAAAGAATCACTTGGAATGGGCTTTAACATTCTGCAAGAGCGGACCAACCACTTCTTTGCTCTGCCCAGCCTGTAAATGAAGACAGCTCTAGTGTTTGCCCCAGCCTTCTGGAGGAGCCTCCTCAGAGGGACTGCCTGATTAGGGCCGCAAGAAAGCCTGCGTTTTGTTTTCTGAGGGCACTGAGGGCACTGAGGCCACGCTGGTATCAGCACCTCTCCCGGTCAGAGCTAAGGGCTAACACAAGCGTGCAGGTGGAAACACTTCATCCCACCCTCACTTTACATCAGTGGCTTTATTGAGCACTCAGAACAGTTGAGAATTGAGAAGCTTCTCTTTAGTACTTTGTGTCTTTGATAGCTGGCTTCTCTCTTAGAAGAGAAATAAGTTGTTGGCTGGTATGCAGTTGATGTGATCTACGGTCTGAACAAATACCATTCACAGTTGCTTCTGAATAAACAAGACACTTTTTAAATTAGTTTACAAAGAATTTTGTGTGCCCTTTTGGATGCTGATAAGGAGCAGTGCAGAAGCCAACTCTTAGGTCAGCTCAGCGACAACACTGAATCATTGGTAACACCATTTTGAACTTGAGCTGCTTTTATTTCCCTTCATAGTCAGTGGTGGCTCCTTTTCAAGCTGCTTGGGCTGCAGGTGTCCAAACTTCCGCAGCTCTGCCAAAGAGTTGTACTTACAGATCAGAAGGGCTAAATGTACGCTTCTAATGAAGCAATTAACTTAAGTGCCCCCTTGTTGAGAAAAGTAGGCTGATATCTAATGTGAGTTCAGGATAAAGATTAGCACACAGCGCAAGCTGTTAATAGTCCTAATTAGACTCTTGGTCACACTACTTCCTTTGATCTTATTTTTGAAAAAGCATGAAAATTTAATTGCAAATCAAAAGACTTTTCTTAAAGTTATATTACAAAATTCAAAGGCAAGGATGTACATAATTGCTAGATAAAAAGGAAAAAATACTCATGTAATCACCACTACTATTTACTCTGACAAGAAAAACATCACAAATCAGTGCAGGAACACTAAAAGATAAAAGGACTATTATGTATTCGTTTGCTATTTTTTTAAAGCATTGACTATTCATGTGTGTCTTTTTGTAAGGCTCCTACATTAAGGATATTTTAAAAGTAATCGTTTATTCCCAGCATTTCCAGTATTAATAGCATGTCCACTTGATGGTTGGTGTTTACAGTAGTAAAATAAGATTTTTTTCTTAAATGTCCACAAATTGAATTTACCTTCA